CACTTCATCGCGATGTAGTCGGCGATCCTTCTGACTCTCTCTCTTATGACACCCTTTTCTTGCAACAAACGCCCAATCTGCTGGGCCCTGGCTTCCAAAGTTTGTTCGACTACTTGATTCTGCTCTTGAAGTTGTTGCAAATCTCTTTCTAGCCGTGCCATTGCTGTATAACACTGTTCTCTTTCAGCCTTAAAGTCTTTCGCCTATTTGATTATTTTGTTTTCCGCGGTGATGACCCTTTTCTTTAGCCCCGTAACCTCATTGTCGTACCTTTCTTTTAATTGCTTAACCAGGTGCGCTCGTTCCTCCGCATTTTTAGCCAGCTGCTTTCGAGCCCTGGCTAGTTCACTTTCTGCTTTGTTCAAATCAAAACTATGTTCTCCCACTTTATGCCTCAAGTTATCTATAAGTTTTTCATCTTTGGAACTTCTGACGAGGTTTTCTGCCGCTACTTTTATTTTCTGAATCTGGGCTCGAAGGGCCTCATTTTCTTTGGCTAGCTTTTTCTTTTCGCCTTCATCTGCCGCAGTTTGCAAGCTATTCTCGAATTGAAGTTCTTGGACTTGTTTTTCCAACTTTCCTATTGTGGCCTTGTACTTATTCTCCTTGGCCAACCAAGCCCATTGTTCTTGTGACGCCTCGACGAATTCCTGAATGTGAGGCTTTTTGGCTAGTCTTTCTGGTTCGGCCCTTACAGTGTTCTTCTTTCTATACCAGGCAAGATAGGCGGGTGAGACCTCTCCTCTAGACAAGGCACGCACTCGAGTGTTCGCTGTCAAATACTGGCACTCGTTCCAAATAGAACGAACTATTTCTTCATGAAATTGGCCGTCAGAATTAACCTCGACCGCATAAAAACTAAGATCTTTATCTGGGTGCATCACCTGACACCTTCCCAATTGTCTTATCACCCGATAGGGAGCGTAAGGCTGAATACTTCGAAGACCCATTAGGAGGAAGTAAGGACCAATGGCGAGCATATACACAATCTCTTCAATAGGAAGCCAACCCAGTGTCCATTCTATTTGTCCCTCAGTGATGGAACGAAGGCGGGATACCCAGTCTCCAAACCCTTCTGGCAACTTGAACCCTGAAACCCTTGTGTCGAACTCTTCAATGCAGCTTTTCTCGGTGGATCCATAACTCATATACTGAGGGCGGTGACATAGGTGCTCGATCATCCACATTTGTAATAGCAAATTACATCCCTCGAAGTCTGCCCCAGCTTTACAAGCTGTGAGAGCTCGGTATATCTCAGACACTATCATAGGTGCAAGAGTGCTCTTGGCGTTGGTAATCAGGACCTTGACGACTCCAGCCACCCGCAAATCGATATTCTCGTCTTTTCGGGGAAACACCACAAGGCCTAAGAATGCTTCCATGAAAGCGAAACGCCTATGCTCATCTTATTTTGTTCGGTTCCCTTTGCTACAAACCCCGCTTTCCGGATCGTTGAACCCTCCTATATGCCCGTACCTCTGATATATAAAATGTAGAGTGGAAAAACCACTCTCCAACTCGGAGTACGGGACTCTCTTGCTTATCTTTAGCAGATCCATGAATTTGTGAGAGTTAACGGCTCTTGGAGCGATCAGATACTTACACCTCAGACCTTCAGTACTTTCCATATAACCTGGTATCTCTTCCAAGGTTGGGGTGAGTTCAAAATTCGAGAAGTGAAATATATTATGGGTCGGGTCCCAAAACGTAACCAAAGCCTTTATGATATCTCCTCTGGGTCTGATCTTTAACAACCCGGTGAGACTTCCCAAATGTAGATTGACCTTATCTTGCTCCGATTTTCCCAGATCCTCCCACCACATACGCAACTCCAAAGGGATCTTGTTTCTAACTGTTATTGGCAAACTTGGTCTCGTGCTCATTCTACACATTTATTAGGGTGATTAAGCAAAAATCAAGACTCATTTGACTCAAAAACAAAGTTGACACTTTTTCTTTTCTTTTTTCTAATTAAAAATAAAGACCCGATTTTGCAAATACGGCCTTTCAGCACCTCGGGGACGAAGATTTTAAGGCTGTGTTGGCTAACCGGCCAAAACTTTGAAAAATGACCAAATGTGGTTGCTCTTGCAAAAGCAGCCTTCTGGCGCCCTTTTAGGGACATTCGGCTATTCTTGACAAGAATGGCATCACCTTAATTATATTCAAATAAAAAAATAAAATTTTGTTCTTTTTGGGCTATTTTTGCAAAAAAGAAGTTGGACCTGATGGGGGTTGCCTACGTATCCCACACCCTGTGAGAATCAAACTGGCGTAGTTCGGGCAATTTAAAACAAAAACCAACCTTTTTATCTTTTCTCTTTCTTTCAAAATAAATAAAAAACAATTTTTTTTCAAAATCTCGGCAGAGTTTCAGCACCATTTGGACACTAGTTTTTCAAAACAGGTTATTATCTCACTTAGCCCTCACAATGCTATTTTTTTCAACTTTCTCCTATTATTCAAAAGCCGGTCAACATGCAATTCCGAAGCAAATAAATGCACAAGTAGCAAGTAAGATGCATCAGGATGGTCTTTTCATTTCAGGTACACATGTCCTAGACAAACCCAACCCCTGTGTTGAGTCTCCAAAGTCAAAATGCACATGGTGCAAACAAACGTTCCTACTAGGGATCCGACATGAGGTATTGTTATACTAGGTTTAAAACCTGGTGTATTGTTCTAGACCTGGCTTACCTGAGCGGACAACTCGAGCCGAGGGGGGGCTGCGTACCGGTAACCAAAAGATCATCCGGCTTTGCAACTTGTCTGAACCTCGTCCTATTTGGGATATGACACTAACAGAAAGAAGTCACAATCAGCGTGCACTCCTTAGGAGAGAGAAGAAAAGGGTGTCGTAGCAGTTTATATATACAGTTCAGATAATATCAAAGCGGTAAAAAACCAACATTTAGTACATTAGGCCCAAACATGTAACAAAATCAGAGAAAGCTAGATATAATAATTTATCTAAGCTCGAATTATGAACCCTGAACCAAAAGTTCTGGGTTCTTTTCCCCAGCAGAGTCGCCAAATCTGTCACACCTCATTTTTCTTACTGGGGAAGGGAGTATATAAGGGAGTTTTTTCAATTTAAGTGACAATCGAAATGGGATTATTTAATTAAAATCAGAGTCGCCACTTGGGATAATTTATGGTATGGTTCAAATCCCGAATCGAGGAAAAGATTGACTCTGTATTACAGTCCGCGAAAATAGAAATCCGGGTAAGGAATTTTGTTAACCCGGGAGAAGGTGTTAGGCATTCCCGAGTTCTGTGGTTTTAGCACGGTCGCTTAAACTATTAAAATTGGCCTAATCATCTGATTTATTACACGTTTTAAACTTATTGCATTTTTAACTTTTATAACCACTTTTTAATTATTTTAAACCGCTTTTAGGATTTATGGAATTATTTCTTTAACAAGTTACGATTGTCATACAGTTGCCGTTTTGGCACACACCGCGAATCACGCTACATAAAATGCACTCGCGATTCGCGACATGTTTATTTTATTATTGTTTGAAGTTGTTATGATCGGGTCACATGGAATGCACCCCCGAATTTGGGAATTAGGTATCATAACTATGTCACGGGAACCGTACCCATAGCCACGATAATCTATTAACAATCGTGCCTAAAGCAAACTACGTTGTTTATGAATTAATTTTTTTTATTTTTATAATTATAGTAAGGCATGACTATGGAAAGTGAAGGCGAACTAGGGAGTGTGCTATTTATTATTTACATCATTTACTAATAAAGGGACGTACTTTGACACTTTAAACCTTTGAGGATAACTTCATTGTTATTAAGCTAAGTCAATGTGAAATTAATTAACAAAGAGGCTACTAAAACAAAAGTATGAGATAAATTGTTGGGATTAAATTAAAATCTTATTCTAACATATTTTTTTTCATATCTTTCAAAATGGATGAATCATACGGACCCAAAGCAAAAATCAAAAAAAGTAAAAAGCAAAAGCAAATATTGTTTTAGCAGCTTCTAATATTTCGGGAAAAATTCAAAGTTATTTAAAACACATCGTAAGCCACGCTACATAAATGCACCCGCGGTTCGCAACACATTTTATCTAACGTTGTTAAAATTTGGATTTGGGTCACATAAATACACACCCAAGTTTAAGGAAATTAATTTAAATTACGCGCCTAAAGCAACTACGCACTTGCAAGTGTGTGAGGGCCATGAAAAATTCAACTAAATGGCATACCCCGATTTCTAAAGGATTAACATTAATTAAGTAAGGGCGATGGGTTGTGGAAGACAATTGTAGATGAAATATAAAATCTAATTAAAGATAATTAGCATGACTCTTTTAATACCAATTTAACTGACAACCATGCTCAAGCACCGCAACATCATATATTGACACAAATAAAGTTCGAATGCTCAAAAGAATTCCACTTGTTACCACTATTCATAATGAAACTAAAACTGGCCATCTCACAAATGAACAATCCTAGCAATTCACATTAATGACACCAAAGAGTAAATAAAGGCATCTTTTCATGAGGAAGTTAATTATATTAATCTTGTCAATCATGAAGATCATAAACAAATAGTCATAACTTTCAAAGCACTGCGTATTTTAGGCAATAGATTAAGTTTCAACTAGGACCCAATTCATGGCTTAAGAGTGCTGACACAAGTCACAAGAGTTTGAGTAATTATAATGTCTCCAAATTTAATATAACCAACAATAATCAAAATGAACATGCCGATTCGTAATTACCAGTTTTCCGAACTTTCATGATTAGCTTCACATAGATTAGTACTTTCTTTTGTAAGTTTGAGCATAAAAAAAACTTAAAACACAACCAACATGAGACTAGTATTTCAATCAGTGACCAAGTAAAATGAGGGAAGACCAGTGAAAGCAAGCATCACATGTCGATAAAGATACTCAGCGAACCAATTCCGGAATCGAAGAGAACAGATCCAAATTACTATTACCACATAAACACATGTATATCAAAATTAGTTATGACCCAATAAATACATGAAAGTGAAAAATAAACCTGAAATTTCTTTCAATTAATAAAAATTCCAACAGTTACACGGACTGAAACAAGAGACAGTTGTGACCGGAATTCGATACGACGATCCTCAAACCGGCAACCTCGAGCACCAAACTGTTTCCCCGATCCGAGCTTGACCGGACAACCTCAAAAGGATGGGGATATGAATAGGACAACGAACAGAACTCAGGACCTCTCTTTTGAGTAAAAGAACAAGAACACCTCTGTGTATGTGTGTGTTTCATGTGTCTGTCCGCGTGAGTTCCGGCGAGTGGATGGTGAAGGCTGTTGAGCATGAAGAGATGAAGAGATCGCTGGTTTGAGGGGCTAGTTGTTTGAAGNAGATGGGGATATGAACAGGACAACGAACAGAACTCAAGACCTCTCTTTTGAGTAAAAGAACAAGAACAACTCTGTGTATGTGTGTGTTTCATGTGTGTGTCCGCGTGAGTTCCGGCGAGTGGATGGTGAAGGCTGTTGAGCGTGAAGAGATGAAGAGCTCGCTGGTTTGAGGGGCTGGTTGTTTGAAGAAGACGACGAAGTCAGGGGGGTCTCTCCTTTTATCTTTCAGAATGTTATTGTCTCTTATAATCATCAATGTTAGTGTCCTTCCCACTAAAAATTATTTTTTCATATTAATTGTATCTACTTAACTTAGTGCCTTTTTTTAATTTAGCTATTGCATTTCCTAAATCCTACCATTATAGAAACTTCCTAAGTTAGGTAAACACTTCCCCTAAGCTAGACTACCCAAATTACCCTAAAAATTAAATTAATTAAGGCAAAATACATAAGTTGCCACCCGAACTATGACCCAAATCCCTGTTACACACTTTTCAGGAACGAATATTACTTTACACACTCAACCTTTCCAAAGTGTATCTAAGACACACCATTTATTTCTTATCCAGTTTTTCAGAATATGTGCAATATCATGCACCAATCAAACAGTGACGCGTGTCATTTAAAAATAAAAATAAAAATAATAAAAATTACAATTATACCCCTCATCTTCCTCATCTAAACTACCATGGCCGTCTTCCTCCTCTCTCACCATCAAACACCATAGTTTCTTCCTCCACCTTTTACTTAATAACAAAGCCACCATTAATTAACAAAAATCACCAGAATACACACCCAAAACTCCATCTTTTCCGCTGAAATTGAATCAAAATTTTTGAGCCCAGATCCAACTCATTTTTCATTTCACTTCGGTAAAAGTTCGACCGCCATTAACTGTCATCGCCACAAGTCAACTATTTAAAAATCATCCATTAATAAAACTAAAGAATGTGCAAAATCTTGAGCTAAGTTTTAATGGTTGGAAAACATTTCGAAAAATTCTCGCTTCCTAAAAATTTGACTTCGCCATGGGTAAAACTCAAGTTAAACTTCTCTACAACGAGAAGAGATATAAGAAATTATGGTATATATATTTGAGAATAAGGAGATCGGGTGGTGGAGCTCAAGGAGTAGCTATGGAAGAATTTTTAAAAAGGAAGAAGATGACTCAATTTAAAATTTTAAAAAACTAAAAAAAAATTGACATCTGACACAAAATTCTTCTGTTCACGCGACTCATTTGTTGGGAAAAACACGCACTATCCACGTGGGCAAAGCAGTGTATATTAGATACACTTTAGAAAGGTTGGGTGTGTAAAGTAATATTCTTTCCTAGAAAGTGTGTAACACGGATTTGGGTCATTGTTCGGGGGGTAACTTATGTATTTTGCCATTAATTAACCCTAATAATTATTACAACTAATTAAATACCAAATTAAAAGAAAATTACTAAAATTCAAAAATTAAAGAGTAAAATGCAACATGACTATTTTTTATGATTTTTCTATTTTTGTCAAACAACAACTTACTTAATTAATCAAAAAATGTAAAAATAAAATCCTAAATGCAGATGCAATATATATTTTTTTAATATTTTTATGATTTGAAATAAATGCCAAAGCTAATCCTAATTAATTAAACTAAACATGAAACTATTTTTGTGTTTTCTAAATTATATAAAGATAAAAATAAGGTACTATTTTTTGTATTATTATTATTATTATTATTATTTTTTAAAATTTATGAAAAATACATAAACTAAAATATTTTTTGTAATTTTCCTTTTTCTTGTAATAAAATAAAGTAAAAGTGTCAAAATGAGTTAAAATAACTATATTATGCCTAAATTAAATATTTACATGCTAAAAATATAAAAATATTGGGGAGGGTCAAAAATCACATGTCTACAGCTGCCCCTCTTTGACTGGAACGCGAAGAGTTTTCAGACAAAGAATGACTAGACTGATTTTTTGACCCGACCCTTATTTGGAGGGACTAAAACTAAGAGAAAAGGGTAATGTGACCAAACCCTGGTATTTGAGCTGCATACATATCCTTGGCTATAAAGGAATCATGCCACGTGTAGTTCAGAGATGAGTGAGATGATGAAGTATACCGAGGTGGAGAGCCGATCGAGGTGCCGTTCCGTCGAGGTTCCGGTCCGCAGTCCTGTTATTACATCAAAATCAAAAAATGAAAAAGACTAACTAAGGTAGTCAACTATGAGTTACAAGATTCCTATCTATAAGTCTTCTGAAGCTTGATCTTGAGTCTTGAATGGTTCTTCATGCAGACTTTGGATTTGAACCTTGACGCTTGCTAGTTGCAGATACTAGTTCGTTCTTTTTCAGATTTTCGGATCAAGACCGGACATGTAGTGTTTGTGACCTCAACCATGTCTTGGGCAACCCACGTCTTTCATCAACTTCTGCATTTGGATTAACTTCTTGCCTTTCTCTTTTTTTTTCTTTATTGTGACTAACTTCTGTTGATCACCTCGGACTGTTGACTCGCATTCTTGCCGCGAGCTTCTTTTGTTGCTGACTTAAATTGTAATCTGAGATGTTTTCCCTTTCTCCATGTGGATGCCTAACTGCTGAACTTGAATTATATTCCCGTGCTCTCCAGGTGGGCTCCTGACTACTGAACTTGAATATATTCTCGTGCTCTCCAGGTGGGCGCCTAACTGCTAAACTTAAATGTATTCCCATGCTCTCCAGGTGGGCACTTGACTGCTGAACTTGAATTGTATTCCCTTGCTCTCCAGGTGGGCGCCTGATTGCATGAATTTTAATTGTATTCCCTTGCTCTCCAGACGGGCGCCTGATTGCTGAATTTGAATGTATTCCCTTACTATCCAGGTGGGCGCCTGATTGCTGAACTTGAATGTATTCCCTTGCTCTCCAGGTGGGCGCCTGATTGCATGAATTTTAATTGTATTCCCTTGCTCTCCAGACGGGCGCCTGATTGCTGAATTTGAATGTATTCCCTTACTATCCAGGTGGGCGCCTGATTGCTGAACTTGAATGTATTCCCTTGCTCTCCAGGTGGGCGCCTGATTTCAACAAAATAGACAAAAACAAAGAAAAATTTCTGCCCCAGTTTAGTAGCTGGGCACATAAGTGAGTGTAAACTGAATCATGTTACCAAATATCAATAAGAACTTGAAAATTGAAACTTGAACTGTACTCCCTTGCTCTCCAGGTGGATGCCTGATTGCTGAAACTTGAATTGTATTCCCTTGCTCTCCAGGTGGGCGCCTGATTGCTGAAACTTGAATTGTATTCCCTTGCTCTCCAGGTGGGCGCCTGATTGCTGAACTTGAACTGTTTCTCCCTGTTCTCCAAGCGGGTCCCTGATTTCAACAAAAATATACAAAACAAAGAAAATTTTCTGCCCCAGTTTGGTAGCTGGGCGCATATGTGAGTGTTAAACTGAATCATATTACCAAATATTACTAAGAATTTGAAAGCTAAGTCACATTATCCAGGGGAGTCCTGACAACTCTTAACTACGACAATTTTAAATCTAAGTTATATTTTCTAAAGGTGTGACTTCCGCTAAATCTTGTTATCTAAGAGGGTCTTAAACTATTCCCCATTATCCAGGAGGGTCCTGAAAATCAAAAGTCAAGATTTATCCTAAGAGTGACATTTCTTTACGGCTGAATTATATTACCCTATAACAAAACTTACGCTAAATCTTGTTATTTAATGGAAATCTTAAAGCTGGGTCCCATTATTCAGGAGGGTCCTGACAACTCTTAATTAAACGACAATTTTAAACCTAAGTTATATCTTATAAAGGTATTATTTCCGCTACATCTTGTTATCTAACAACAATCTTAAAGCTAGGTCCATTATTTAGGAGGATCCTGAAAACTGCTAATTGAATCATATCTCCAACATACGAACTTTAAAACCATGTTATATTCCTTGGGATACATTTATGCTAGATTTTACTACTCATGACTGTTTTGAATTTTAAACTAGGTCCCATTTTCCAGAAGGGTCCTAAGAATTTACGGTCAAACCTGTCTGGTGCTTTGCCTTTCCTTAAGGAGGGTTCTCCGAAACGAATGAAATTTTCTGCCCCTGTTTCAATCAAAGAAAATCTTGTCAGTTTAAAAATATGGTGATTGGTTTGTGGCCTTGAATTTCGAGGGCAATTGCTCCTTCACTTCCCATGATCACTTTGATTCCCACTCGAAAACCTTGCTTATTTATTGACTAATCACTTTCTCCGTCACCCTTATCACGAAAAATACCTCTGATCTATTCAAACCCAATACCATTGACACGTACTGAACATTTGTGTTTCCCATGAATCCCAAAGCACGTTAATTGTCATCCACTCAGTGCGCATGCTGTTCTTTCCTGACTTAAAACACCGACCTTGGCCTTGAGGTCTATTGCTCCGTCGCTTTCCATGATAACTTTGACTTCTGCTTGGAAGATCTTGCTTGTCACTGATTTACCACCCTTTTCGTCAATCTTATCACGAAAAATACCTCTGATCCGTTCACCAAACACCCTTTATCTTGTTGCATTGTTCATGGATTGATATGTACCAAACCTTCGTGTTTCACCGAAAATACCTTTGATCTGTTTGCCTAACACCCTCCATCTTGTTGCATTGTTAATGAATCGATATGTACCAAACCATTGTATTTCACAAGGATCCCAAAGCATGTTGATTGTTACCACCTCAATGCGCTTGTTGTTTTTTCCTGACTTATGACATTTTGATGTGTTAGCCAGACCCCATTTTGTGCAATTGGAAAGCTGGTGGCAAATTTTGAAGTCATTTCTCACTTGTTTTGACCAAACAAACTCAGAAAAGGAAGTAAACACGACAAAAGAAACAAAGTAAAGGACAAGGGAAAGAGATGATTCCTAACAAGAAAACTACAAAGGAGAAACCTATCAGATTGGATACCAACTCTAACGACCATGACATGCACCTGTGGCCTATTCTGTCAAGCAAGTCTGATGTTCAACTATTGTTGTACCCTCTAAGCCGTGAAACTGGGCTTCAATGCTCCGATTATCCAATCTGATTTACAATCCTTATTCGACTTGTAGTGCCCAAAGGGTTTTCACCATCAAACCTCTCTCATTTGATTCTTTCTCTCAACTTTCGTCGTCTCCAAGGTGCTCATGAAGGTTTTTACCAATAAGACTCTCATTTTTATTTCTCTCAACTCCCGCCGCCTTACGGTATCTGTGAGGGTTTTCACCGA